TTAAAGTTTTCCAAGTCTCGAGATGATACGATATCCTACCACATACTGGAAGACTCTGTTTAGTATCATAAAACTCACTCTTTCTACAGAAATTTTGTCCTTTTCCCAGCTCGTTGAGGTCATGCGGCTGTATGGGTGACTGAACTGTCACGCGCATTGTTTCCTAAAAAAACGACCCCTTCCCCTCTGTGAGCCACCTCTTGTATCTCTGAAGACAGGCGGTCTGCTTTGGCCACCTCTTTGATAGGGATGAAAATGATGAGATGTCACATTATGTACCTTGGTCACCAACTTATTGGTGTCAGTCAGTTCTTTTATCTGTTCAGATAAATTATTCCCGAAGAGATGTTCCGTGATTGGGTTGGTGTGGGCACAAAGTTGTTTAAATTCAGGACGTATGTCCCCTCTAATTGCGTCCCTCCTCTTCAAACTGAGATCTAGATTAGCTGAGGCAATCAAGGCAATGCCATCTACTAGTTGTGTCACAAGAGAGGACACATCAAATGCTTCCTTATTGCACAAAGTGTCCACCACCTTTACCATTGGAACTAACCCCTTGCATATGGAGTTCTGCACTTTTTGCGCTCTGATATCTCGCGACTTACTGTCTGATTCCATGATACGCCATATCTCACTGTTTACACGGGGTGGTTGCAACTTGGGACAGTTTTCCGGGCGGGCATGTTTATCGAACATTTCTGACTTTTGCTTCTCATCAAGCTTTGTGCTAAGCAGACCCTCCACTAATTCTGCCAATTCTGTTTCAATCCGTGGCCCTGTTTGTTCTGAAACTTTGAACACACTGGCAATTTTTCCCAGATCACACACCCGCTTAGAGGGTTGACTGGGGGCCGCCATATTGTTTTGATGAGCAGGGGAGCTAACTCCAGCACTTTGTCCAGCTGCTTGCTGTTCTGAGGGCCGCTGAGCGGTGCTAGGTCTAGCTATTGGCTCGCTCGCCTTTGCAAGACCTTGCTGTGAAGCGCTGTCGTCGGTTCTATAAATAGACTCGTTGCACTGAGAGCCCTCTGGCTAGTAAAGGATGTGATTTTCTTGTTCTGTAACTTTGTCAAGAACTTTGTTGATGACTGCCATTTGATTTTTCTCCATTATATGAAGTGCCTGTGTGAAAAAATCGGCACCTTTGTCAGCACTTACACTTGTGGAAAGTTTGTCAAATTGACCACTGGTCCCTTTTGGACCGCCAATAGAGATACTGTCACCAGTTTTCTCTTCATCAATGTTATTACATTCAACACACGGGGTTGTTTCCTCTGAAACAATTTCTTCCCCATTGTTCACTTTTGGGTCTGATAAAAGTTCTTGTCTCGACTCCCGCTTTTGGGCAGACAAAGACTAACCCAACAATTCATCTTGTAATTTTGCCAAGATGGCCGTACCCCGAGTTGGTGAAGCCATGGGGGAGAAGGTAAGAGGACAGAAGAACTTGACAAAATGGGACTTACATGCGCCGAGCGTGAATGGAAACCGTGCCCAAAGTTCCAAGTAAACAAATCCAAATGTCCAAGAAAGTCACAAAACACAAGAGCACACAAATTCCAAGAATTGAAGAGCTGATCAACAAAGGCTTTGACTTCTACCCGAGTTCACATTTGCACTGAAACCCGATTGCGCATGTGCAATATCATGTGGTCTCTCATGTGACCTGGTACTGAAGGAGAATTTGTTGACACACTAACATTATGTATTAACAACACAACAGTGTATCCAGCACATTTAGTTTCTGGGTTCCATCAGTGTGGTGAGGCACATGGAACATCCTCCTGAACTAGCTCCTTGCACACTTGGCTCTCATGTACACAGTCTTTTTCTCTCATGCTCTCTCCTCTTATCAGTACATCTCCAGCTCTTGGCCAATGCTGGGGAAGTCTCTTTCTTATCTATAGATCTGGACCTCTGGACCAATGCTGGGGCAGTCCTTGTCCTGAGTAACTTAAGCTAACTTCAGATGACAAGTATTAAGAACATTTTCCCCAAACACTAGCCCGTGTGTCTTAAAGGAATCTACCCATTACCTTAAGTACTGAGGAAAAGATAGACCTTAAACACCCTGAAGTTTCACCAATAACATAATGTTATGTTGTATTACCCTGTCATATCTGGTTATTTGTTCAAATGCCATGGAATCACTTGTGTGTATTTACTTTGATAGCAACAATCATGTTTGTATTATTGAGTGCTGAAAACTTTGAACAAATCACAATTTCTTGAGAAGTCAGTAGTCAGAATGTCCTGTTAATGTAAGGACAATCGATATATTGTGTAGTACATGAAATTAGCTCTTTGTCTGTGAATGTGATGGTTTATCGGATGCTTACTGATGTAATTTGTTTTATGCCAGTTTAGTTATGCCTGTGCATTGATCAATATGTAAACGATATTTAATGTTTTTCACTGTATTCATGTTCACACTGAGTGAATTAAACCCAATTTACAAACAAAGTAACATTTCTGTCGTTTGTTGTCTTCATAACGTGTGCTTTAAAAACCAGCATCAGATGATGACAATGGCTGCTTACGGTGCATCACGCTTGGAAGACAACCTGCCATTGTTTACCAGGCTGATTGTGCATCCACAGACTCATGGGGATTCTGGGTAAGGACAGCTTCCTGGTAACCGATGCTTAGCATCATCATGCCTTGGCAATGTGGATTGTTGCTCAGCATATGAATCACTGGGTTATTTATGAGTGAGTGAGTTGAGTTTTATGCCACACTCAGCAATATTCCAGCTATATGGCGGCAGTCTGTAAATTATTGAGTCTGGACCAGACAATCCAGTGATCAACAGCATCAGCATCGATCTACGCTATTGGGACAAGATGACATGTGTCAATCAAGTCAGTGAGCCTGACTACCCGATCCCGTAAGTCACCTCTTATGACTGCAACACATTGTTGGAATATCACTGAGTGACTGAGTGAAACGTAGAGTCTGCCATTATTACCGGGGGTATCAATCAATGTTTTGCCTGGTCAAGAATCAATTATTTAGTAATTGCTGTACTAGACTTCGATACTTTGCTTGCTACACTGTAAAACCACAATAATTTCCAATAGAAAGTCATGTTTTTGCAGGGTGACATTATAATTAGTGCTGTGTTGAAGCAGATTATCTCCCTTGTTATCAATGTCTCTCATCCAATGCTGGAATAAAAACATTCACATTCAGTCCTTCAGCTGAGAAAGATCATTGCAAAGAAATCATAAAGAATAGTTCTTTCTCCAACACAATATGATCCCCTCACAAATAATCCAAAGTAAAAGAAAAGACACCAGCAGACGAATGTTTGAGATAAATTTATAACAATATGGTAAAGTACAATGTATAAACAGACCATATACTCACAAATAATACTAGTCTTTTAATCAGCAGACTTTGGCAAAAAGTTCATGTAAATACATCGTCAAACATCACAATTATCTCAACCAAAGAATGGAAAGCACATATTTTCCCATTCTCTACTCAGTTTATCGCCATTTAGAAGCAACAGATTGTGTTAGTCTTGAAATAAAACTTTAAAATTCCATGCAGTGTGTTGTGGCAGTGTTGCATGATAAAAGATATTTGTTTGTACTCTGAACTGTAGTGGTTGAATGAAGATTGTGGCACTGATATAAGATGGAAGGCAATGAAAACATACTGAATATAGTGAGTGAGTTGGTTACACCTCTTTAACCGTATTCCAGTATTCAGAGCGTGTCAACTTATTGTGATGCAGGGCTCCACTTTTATTTAAATCCAGGCACATGGACATGGTGCTCACAAATCTAAAAACATAATCCATGTGATTTGGGATTCGAGACCACCAGAACACAACTCAACACAGCAAATTACAGCACCCTAAATTACAAGGCATCTTGACCCCAAAATATAGAGTTAGTTTTGGAGAGTATGTACAGACTTCCTAATACTGGTACCAGGTATGTATTTCAATCTGGTTCATTTCTGGAATAGCAAGGCATACACATGTAAGTATATATAACGTGGAAAGACTTCACATGTACAAGCAGCCATCATACAGCTGGAGCATTGCTGAGTGCAGTATTACACAACTGGCAAAAATCTTTTGAGTCAACTAAAATCCAGTAACAATGTTGACACAAATCAACATCCTCTTCTGAACACAAGAGACATAGAAACAAAGGATATTGAATCTACTACACACGTGATAATACTGAGAACAAGGGTTCTTTTCACAGTAGGGGACAGTGGGGTAGCCTAGTAGTTTAAGTGTTTGCTCATCACGCCAGAGACCCGGGTTCGATTCCCCACACGGGTACAATGTGTGAAGTAAATGATAAAACACAACTCCCCAAGGTTTTTGTAGCAAATGTAAACCCACGGAGGGATTTTCCCTCCTCCGCGGGTTTACATTTGCTACCAAAACCCGAGGAGGAGTGTTTTATCAAACTTATGAACCATCATGAATGTAAAACACAAATATGTATTATGTTCAATTTGTGCAAATGTTTTGTGTACCTGTACTGAGCAGAACAACATTGATGGAACAGCCTGCAAAAGATGGAAAAGCCGGTGTCAACTGGGATGCGACATGCAACCAACAAGTTGCCTCGCATGCTCAATGCACGTGGTCTGCATGCGCTACCCTTGTCCTGCACGTGCGCATTTTGTGAGGAACACATGATTCATACTGACAAACAATCTCATTCTTCAGAGCGATCCTTCGTAGCCTAGTGGAAAAAACCCCGCCTAGCTAGAGAGCGAAGGGTTGCGGGTTCGAAACCAGTTAATGCAGTTAACTTTACTGCAGACAAAATCAGATATAGGTTTATAAGCCCATTTCTGGGGTCCCCTGCCTTGATATTGCTGAAATATTGCTAAAAGTGGCTTAAACCATACTCACTCATTCACTCTTTTCACAGTAAAAATTGTGTAAAATTGGAAATGCCAGTATGACTTAATTGGTGTTTTATGCTGAAAAAATATTTGGTATTGTATATCTACAGTGCCTCAGAATCTTCCCATTCATGTATGTCTAAATAACTTCAATCAGACTCCTCTGAAAGTAGTTCCATGTTGGGATTCTGGGTTGAAGCCCATGCTTGTCATACAATACTAAATATCGGGGTTGTTAGGCTGAGTGAATTGGTAGATTTCATTACGGTATGTCCTGACAGTTTGGGCTGTTACTCATCACATAAAGCACTGCATGGCTGATCCAGACAGTATTATTTACAGACTGCTGTCAAATAGCAGCCTTGAAAAGGTAACTTAGAACTGTCAACATCACAATGTAAACATTTTATATTTAATCACAGCTTCCATCAACTCTTAAGGCCATTATTAGTGGGACAATTCATTACATTCTCTGCTAACCCAGGAGCCTAAATAACTCTAATATGCAACTGGTCCGACACTTGAGTCAGGGCATGCTTAAATAACACTGTACAAATGGCAGCTTTACAGACAATTATAGAAGAATAATACATAAAATGATAAATATGAATATTTTTTAACCATCTACCAACCAGAATATATCATTATAAAACATAAACCAACAAATAACATAAGTCTGGCGTAAACTGAGAATTGAACATATACCTGACCCCAATCACCACACACACACAAGTAACAATTGTAAACAGTGAATCTTAAAATCAGTTCACAAATTTTATCAGTGATAATGTAATAATCAGTAAGAGAAAAGGTCTCTTCAGGATGCTTACCAGTTAAAACAGCTTTATACAGGCAAATAGCCAATTCCCAATGTCTACAATTCTTTTAGTGGAAATAATTCATTTATAATGAGTAACATGTCTTCATTTTATTTAGAATAGTTGACATAAAACAAAAAAGCAGGAGAGATACCATGGCAGGTATTTCAAATACTGCACTGAGCAAGATGTGTTTAAAACATCAAATAAAATAAAGCTATGAATGGAATAATTGGACAAAAAATACTAAACTGATTTGGTGAAATATGGAGATGTTATCAATTCCAAACAATGTCTGGAACACAAGACCAAACATGCGAGCGCATGCATGCACACACTCACACGCACCATTCCACCTCACCAGACCTGATTGATGATAAAATACACATGACTCAAGTCATGTCATACAACTGAGACATGATTCACTTAACACGTTGACTGCCACCACTACAAGTTATCTCGTAGCTATATCGGTGGTATTTTAAAACCAATGTTTCACATGTTGGCAAAACAGCACAAGAAGCAATTGTTTCCTGACGGTAACAAAGAACGCCAGGAGACGTTTGTTTCTTGTGCCTATTTTGGCAACATGTGCAACTTGTTTTAAAATACCACTGATGTAGCTACGAGATAACTTGTAGTGGCAAATTCGGCCAGAATTGATACTACGATTATACTCGTGATAGGCAGTGAACGTGTTAAAAAACGGGGATACATTCGGCCTTTCATGCCGGTAACTTCTGGAGGTCTTCAGTACTGTAATACATTGCCTTCTCCCCACCGTCCCCCTTTTCCCGACTCGACCGTTCCATCTGCGCCTCTGTGAGCTGCATGTACAGTATCTGCTCCTTGTCGGTGTTGTAACGCACCTCCTCCCCGGGGTGTTTGTGCATCACATGTTTACGGACGTTCCCACCCATGGCACTGCTGTAGGCGCAGTACGGGCACTGGTAGGGCTTCATGCCCTTGAACACATGCTGTGTTCTGATGTGGAGCTTCATGTGCTCCCCGGTCTTGGAGCTGTATTCACAGTAGGGACACTTCTGTTCCCCGTCCTGGTGGATCTTCCTGTGTGTGCTCATGGCGGAGAACGACTTGTAGCTCTTCCCACAGACGTCGCATGTGCACTTGAATGTTCGATCATGGACATTGCGGATGTGTTTTTGTAGGTAGCTGTTTGTCAGGTATTTCACATTACAATGTGGGCAGGAAAGCTCTTTGCGATTGTCAAAATCAGCCCGGACACCATGACGATGGAATACATGATCTGGAAAAGAACCAAGGTAGCATACTCAGAGCAGAAGATTGACTGAAATCATGAATGTATGTTAATTTCCTGGCTAGAGACAGGTTAACTGGTTCCCATGGTTCCAGGACCTGAGTTGCTGTTCAGATACATGTTGTTTGTTATGAGGGACGGCTAAATTACAACACTACTTACTAGCTAGGTACCAGTGGATGTTGGTACCATATGGATAACACTACTTACTGGCTAGGTAGCAGTGGATGTTGGTAGCATATGGATAACACTACTTACTGGCTAGGTACCAGTGGATGTTGGTACCATATGTATAACACTACGTACTGGCTAGGTACCAGTGGATGTTGGTACCATATGGATAACACTACTTACTGGCTAGGTACCAGTGGATGTTGGTACCATATGGATCAAAATTACTTAATGGCTAGGTATCATATGGATAACACTACTTACTGGCTAGGTACAAGTGGATGTTGGTACCATATAGATAACACTACTTACTGGCTAGGTACCAGTGGATGTTGGTACCATATGGATCAAAATTACTTAATGGCTAGGTATCATATGGATAACACTACTTACTGGCTAGGTACCAGTGGATGTTGGTACCATATGGATCAAAATTACTTAATGGCTAGGTATCATATGGATAACTAGGCTAGGTACCAGTGGATGTTGGTACCATATGGATAACACTACTTACTGGCTAGGTACCAGTGGATGTTGGTACCATATGGATAACACTACTTACTGGCTAGGTACCAGTGGATGTTGGTACCATATGGATAACACTACTTACTGGCTAGGTACCAGTGGATGTTGGTACCATATGGATAACACTACTTACTGGCTAGGTACCAGTGGATGTTGGTACCATATGGATAACACTACTTACTGGCTAGGTACCAGTGGATGTTGGTACCATATGGATAACACTACTTACTGGCTAGGTACCAGTGGATGTTGGTACCATATGGATAACACTACTTACTGGCTAGGTACCAGTGGATGTTGGTACCATATGGATAACACTACTTACTGGCTAGGTACCAGTGGATGTTGGTACCATATGGATAACACTACTTACTGGCTAGGTACCAGTGGATGTTGGTACCATATGGATAACACTACTTACTGGCTAGGTACCAGTGGATGTTGGTACCATATAGATAACACTACTTACTGGCTAGGTACCAGTGGATGTTGGTACCATATGGATAACACTACTTACTGGCTAGGTACCAGTGGATGTTGGTACCATATGGATAACACTACTTACTGGCTAGGTACCAGTGGATGTTGGTACCATATGGATAACACTACTTTACTGGCTAGGTACCAGTGGATGTTGGTACCATATGGATAACACTACTTACTGGCTAGGTACCAGTGGATGTTGGTACCATATGGATAACACTACTTACTGGCTAGGTACCAGTGGATGTTGGTACCATATGGATAACACTACTTACTGGCTAGGTACCAGTGGATGTTGGTACCATATGGATAACACTACTTACTGGCTAGGTACCAGTGGATGTTGGTACCATATGGATAACACTACTTACTGGCTAGGTACCAGTGGATGTTGGTACCATATGGATAACACTACTTACTGGCTAGGTACCAGTGGATGTTGGTACCATATGGATAACACTACTTACTGGCTAGGTACCAGTGGATGTTGGTACCATATGGATAACACTACTTACTGGCTAGGTACCAGTGGATGTTGGTACCATATGGATAACACTACTTACTGGCTAGGTACCAGTGAATGTTGGTACCATATGGATAACACTACTTACTGGCTAGGTACCAGTGGATGTTGGTACCATATGGACAGTGTTGGCACTTGTATTCCTTGTCCTGGTTGTGCTTGCTCTTTACATGGAGTCGCAGAACAGGTTCCTTGGCGAATCCCATTCCACATATGTCGCAGAGGAAAGGGCGGATGTTAAGGTGCAGAGGAAAGAGTACTGCGGATGTTAAGGTGCATCGTTAAATCGGATGTGGTTCTGAAGAGTACTGGAACAGTCAGAGAGATGAAGGCTTTAAATAGCTTTGAGGGTCGATGCTTTATAACAGGTATAATTAGTGGTAACACACTTAGATTACCCTACAAAGGTTCCCATTTGGCATTTCTTGTGTCTGGAGTAAATATTCAACATTATAAACATCGATCAAAGGATTAACCGATAACACGCTGATTGATTAATTTCTTTTATCTTACACAGCGGAATTGTCAAAAGGTAGTGTTTATGTATGTAGATTTACTAATCTATACTGAATACACTCTGTCGGTCGGGTGTCTGCGTAAAAACAACGTCCTTCTTTCAAAGGATTAACCGGCAATACATTGATTGATTGCCCATTATTGGCTAACTAAATTACTGTTTTTAAAGAAAGGCAGACATTATGCAATTAGTTGCCAGGTGTGCTATCTTGGGTGACCAATGAGACTATACACCAATACCTGAAAAGTTTTATCACTTTTTAGTATATTAAACTGTTAAAAGACACATCATTTTGGAACAGTTCTGTGGATATTGATGGATACATTCCTCGAACAAGGTAATGGCCTGATATTGTTCCTATAACTTTAATCTGTTTTAATTTTAATATTTGCATTTTGTTTTATTCATTTGTCGTAGTAGCATTCAACAGAATCATTGTTTTCGCCCAGGAAGTGTAATGAGACAGACAACATGCACTAGGGTGTGTGTCGCGAATTATGATTCACATTGGCAAACTATAAAATGTCTAGATATTACAGTTCTGTTATAAATTCACTATAAGTATCAGCAGATCGTCCTGCTTTTTATTTAGTTTCAAAATGCATACAAGTGTGATAATAAACTAATTAGGATTATAAGACCAAATATAAAGACGCACATTGACTAGTATCTACATACTGGTGAGTGGACATTAACCATGGGAATGTAGCAAGAAATTTATCCGCAGTATTGTGACTTCGACCCCCACCTCGCTTCCGTGGAAGAAATCGTTATGTTATAAGTTGTGTCATGCAAACTCCGCTTTGGTTATGATTCCAATACATATTTAACTATGAGTAGAAAGTAGTCTTGATTTTCTAACTTGAGTGAAAACAAACTATAATCTCATTAATTCTAACAGATTTTTTATTTTTTAAATGATACCGGCCCTGTCGGAACATCCAGCCAGTCTGAGGATATATGGTATTTAGGGTTGTTTTCACGTTACAAAATCAAAACTACTTTTCTACTGGTAATAAAATATGTATTTTATTGATGGCCAATAGGATTTTGCATGACATAGCATATATCATAACAATTTATCTCGTGGCAGCGAGGTGGAGTGTCATTATAATACTACTTACAATATTATTGTTACTTGACCACAACCTCACTTCCGAGGAAGAAATCGTTATGTTACAAGTTGTGTCATAGAAAATCTTTATGGTCATCAATCATATGCATATTTTACTACAACTAGTAAGTAGTTTTGATTCTTTAACTTCCGTGAAGCGATCTGAAAACAAGTAAGATATCGTTTCAGGCTTCCTAGCGCCGCTTCGCGACTCTACAAACATAACCCATTTAGCACGAACTGCGGGTCCTGTGGAAATCTGTGCATGGGGACACCATCGCCCGACCCCTAGGAGCAATTGATCGACAAAGCAACGATTCGGCATGTCTTCGTTGATGTCGAGAAATCATCAAAATGATGAGCGTGCTACATATTTTCTATACAACTAACTGAAAATCGTTCCTCATATGACGCCACTGCAGTGCTCTGGCGACAGAGTTACGTAAACCTGTCTGTGGTTTTCGTATGGTGAGAGGGAAAGCAGGCTTACTTTTTACCACTTTAATCGCCGGTATTAATTAACCACAAGTTTTTAAAGAATAAATTTGGTGTTCCGCATAAGACTAACCACAAATCTTTCATATGTAATGGTTAAAAGAGTAACAAAAAACAAAGTTTATTGGTTCTTTAATGTCTTTTTAACAGTAATTCGGTTATTTTACTGTATTTTACTTAAGCTTACATTGGGATTAAAGCCCAAATAAAAACTCCATGACCACAGATAAAGTGTTGACAAACCAAGGATGATAATCTAGGTGAATTAGGGATGTTATACCATGATGATTAGATCCAGTCTTGACTAAGGACTATAACTTATTAAAGCGATTACAGAATAGAAGATGAAAGAGTGGACGAATGTTGTTTTACGCCTGTCAACAATATTCCAGCTACATATGGATGTCCTGTAAACATTGATTACGAGTCCGACAAACCTGTGGTTGATAGAATCCCCAGTCCGTAGGAAGATACCATACTCAATACTTTGGTGAGTAATGATTTAACGAGTGAGTATGGTTTTACGCTGCCTTTAGCAATATTCCAGCAAAATCATGGCAGGGGACACCAGAAATGGGCTTCACACATTATACCCATGTGGGGAAACGAACCTGCGTCTTTGGCGTAACGAGTAACCCACTAGGCTACCCCACCGCCCTGAGTACTGATTTAGCATTAAAACATTTTCTAAGGTTTCCAAGTTTTAAGAGACCCTTAGAACTTTTCCCAGTATTATCGTCAGTGGAGAAATGGACAACTCACTCTCCTGTTTTGACGACTAAGTTGCAGTGAGGACACTTGTGCTCGGTGTGACCTATACGCTTATGTTTCTCCAGGAAGAACTTGCGGACAGTCTCGTACTCACACCCTTCAACATCACATCTAAACAGCTGCAACACAGGAAGTATTACGGTCAGAAGACAGTGATAGAGACAGATCAGTTGTACAGAGGCAAAGTCCTGTAAGTGAACATTAGCAATATTCCACAGCAGGGGACCAATGGGCTTCAAACATAGTACCCATGTCAGGGATCGAAACCCTTGACTTGGGTGTGACGAGGAGACAGTTTAACCACTACGCTACCCCACCCCCACCATCTAGTCATCACAGAACTGACTCCAAGACTACTTATATTATGGGACCGCCTCCGTGGTGTAGTGGTTAAAACGTCCGCCCGGAGAGCGGAAGGTCGCGGGTTTGATCCCCGACCGCGTCATACCAAAAGACGTTAAAATATGGTACTTGTTGGTCCCTGCCTGGCGCTCAACATTAATGGGTACAACAAGGACTGGTCAGCTCGGAGTCAGTATAATGTGTCTGAGTGGGGTATTCATGCTTCACTGCGGTATGGTATCTCAGTGGGCTAGCACTATAAAACCAGCTTAAGTCTGGGCTAGTACAAGCAGCCACACATACACATAGACACGCATGCACGTCGTCATATGAGCGAAATATTCTCAAGCACAACGTAAAACCCAATTTCACCTCACCTCACTTATATTATGGCGATAATTTGTAAATAGAAAAGCAGATTGGTTTATCAATTCTAAAATAGTCAAATATCATCCATCCAGAAATCACACGACCAAGAAAACCTAGTACTAAAACATGTTTCAGGTTTCATTCTATGTTTCAGTTTGTGAAACTAGTTGACTACTGAGAACATTTCCTGCAATATTAGCTATACTCAAAATTATATGTCATCAAACTTGAAAGTATCAGTTCAAAAAAAGTAAGCTACAAATGATGGATGGCGGAGATAAAATCAGGTCCCCATTCCACAGAGTGATCTGTCATAGATTTTCAGTAAAACAGTCCATGCATTTTGAGGATGAGAAATGACGCATGTTCCTTTTGTTCTACATAAGACCTTCATATACATACAGAAGGTACAAGCCACTACAACTACCACTAACCCAGTGTTTGGAGCACTACTGCTTGTCCTATATGGTGATATACACTGACACTGTTCAACATTGTATATTCAGTCAATTGTTGCCTTGACAGATGACTAATTACCAGCTGTATAATAACGTGTGCACAGCTAATTGCTATTTCTGTCTCTGTTTACAACACAAATACACATGGTAATCTTAATCCCTGCATATAATACAGTGCCTTCACAAAATTAAACTGACTGACTGACTGAGTGTGGTTTTACGCCGTTTTTAGCAATATTCCAGCAATATCACGGCGGGGGACACCAGAAATGGGCTTCACACATTGTACCAATGTGGGGAATCGAACCCAGGTCTTCGCCGTGACGAGCCAACGCTTTCAAAAAATTAAAACTGAAAAGACAAATAATCTTGTCTAGTGATATTCAATCGCAAATTTGATGTCTTCTCCGACAAAGTTGTTTTCTCTTAATCGTTCATGAGAAGCAATATGATACGATGTCGTTTTCTTACCACCAGAAAAAGGTTTGACGTAAGTGTAACCTGTAGATAAGCCGATTCCCTTCTACAGACTGCTTTTTTCCCTCAAAATTTGGCTTATCTACAGTCATATTCAGTAAATAGGGAATATTTTCAGTAAATATACAAGTAGGGAGTTTCAGATAAAGGCCTCATCCTCTTTCTACCTCTAGCCATCTGGTAATGGGTCTGCCAGACACAAGGGAATACATTGTAAAAGGGGTCTGTCTCAAGTCTAGAATGATCTGGCATGTGTAGCGTGCCTCTGCTCTAGGAAATTTCTCCTAAAATTAAGAAATGTTCAGGGCTCTTTTTAGATTTTTTTATTTTAGATTTGGTAGATATATAATTCTAAAATGATAACTTTATGTCTGGAACTAGAAGTCGTTGGTTAGCTAGTTGGGTTGTTGTTTAACGTCGCACTTAGCACTATTCCAGCTATATGGCGGCGGCCTGTAATTAACCGAGTCTGGACCATACAATCCAGTGATCAACAGCATGAGCATTGATCTACACTATGATGTGTATCAATCAAGTCAGCGAGTCTGACCACCAGACCCAGATAGACAACTCTTGTGACAAGCATGGGTTGCTGAAGACCTATTCCAACCCCGATCTTCACAGGTCTGGAACTAAATGCCAGTCAAGTCATCAAGATCTAGGCCAGATGAAACATAAAGTAATGTAAAGGACAAAATTTCATCAGCATGGTTTAAGTGGCCACTATGTTTGTGTAGCAGCAGCAGCAGCAGCAGCTCATACATCACCTTCACTGAATGTTGTATGCCATGCTGGTCTCGCTCGTGCTCCTGCTGATGGACGTACTTCACAAACTCCTGGCCACACTGTGTACACGAGAAGATGGGCTTGTTGCCATGAACCTTCATCACGTGTTTGTCCAGCATGGCCTTCAGGTGGAACATCCGAGGCCTCTGACAGTGTGTACACTTGTACTTCACATCGGGATGTTCCAGCTTAGCATGGCGTTCCAGTTCACCATAGTCAATAGAGGCAAAATGGCAGCCTTCAATTTCACAGTTGACTAGGAGGGCTGAGTTCATCTCAACCTGAAAGAGAAATTGTGGTCAAGGTGGAACATTTTCCATTGAAACATTTCCCTGTATACATGCATTGACAATAAACTTTCACAAATCAAAATCTGAGAAATCTTATAAGCAGCTGCATCTACTCAAGATTTACAAAGACACCTGGCATGTTGCTTTGTCCATCTCGGATGGAAAGTGATAAGTACTCTCAGTGAGGACTGGTCATTTCATTCATGTACTGGTATGTGACCCAGAGTGTCAAACTGGGGTAACTGTCAACAGTAGTGACTACCGGGGTAACTGTCAACAGTAGTGACTACCGGGGTAACTGTCAACAGTAGTGACTACCGGGGTAACTGTCAACAGTAGTGACTACCAGGGTAACTGTCAACAGTAGTGACTACCGGGGTAACTGTCAACAGTAGTGACTACCGGGGTAACTGTCAACAGTAGTGACTACTGGGGTAACTGTCAACAGTAGTGACTACCGGGTAACTGTCAACAGTAGAGACTACCAAGGTAACTGTCAACAGTAGTGACTACTAACTGTCAACAGTAGAGACTACCACTGTCAACAGTAGTGACTACCGGGTGTGACTGTCAACAGTAGTGACTACGGGGTGACTGTCAACAGTAGAGACTACACTGTCAACAGTAGAGACTACGCCGGGTAACTGTCAACTGTAGTGACTACCGGGGTAACTGTCAACAGTAGAGACTACCGGGATAACTGTCAACAGTAGAGACTACCGGTGTAACTGTCAACAGTAGAGACTACCGGGGTAACTGTCAACAGTAGAGACTACTGGGGTAACTGTCCACAGTAGAGACTACTGGGGTAACTGTCAACAGTAGAGACTACCGGGGTGACTGTCAACAGTAGAGACTACCGGGGTAACTGTCAACTGTAGTGACTACCGGGGTAACTGTCAACAGTAGAGACTACTGGGGTAACTGTCAACAGTAGAGACTACCGGTGTAACTGTCAACAGTAGAGACTACCGGGGTAACTGTCAACAGTAGAGACTACCGGGGTAACTGTCAACAGTAGTGACTACCGGGGTGACTGTCAACAGTAGTGACTACCGGGGTAACTGTCAACAGTAGTGACTACCGGGGTAACTGTCAACAGTAGTGACTACCGGGGTAACTGTCAACAGTAGTGACTACCGGGGTAACTGTCAACAGTAGAGACTACTGGGGTAACTGTCAACAGTAGTGACTACTGGGGTAACTGTCAACAGTAGAGACTACCGGGGTAACTGTCAACAGTAGTGACTACCGGGGTGACTGTCAACAGTAGTGACTACTGGGGTAACCGTCAACAGTAGAGACTACCGGGGTAACTGTCAACAGTAGAGACTACTGGGGTAACTGTCCACAGTAGAGACTACTGGGGTAACTGTCAACAGTAGTGACTACCGGGGTAACTGTCAACAGTAGAGACTACCGCGGTAACTGTCAACAGTAGTGACTACTGGGGTAACTGTCAACAGTAGAGACTACCGGGGTAACTGTCAACAGTAGAGACTACTGGGGTAACTGTCCACAGTAGAGACTACTGGGGTAACTGTCAACAGTAGAGACTACCGGGGTGACTGTCAACAGTAGAGACTACCGGGGTAACTGTCAACTGTAGTGACTACCGGGGTAACTGTCAACAGTAGAGACTACTGGGGTAACTGTCAACAGTAGAGACTACCGGTGTAACTGTCAACAGTAGAGACTACCGGGGTAACTGTCAACAGTAGAGACTACGGGGTAACTGTCAACAGTAGTGACTACGAGGGTGACTGTCAACAGTAGTGACTACCGGGGTAACTGTCAACAGTAGTGACTACCGGGTAACTGTCAACAGTAGTGACTACCGGGGTAACTGTCAACAGTAGTGACTACCGGGGTAACTGTCAACAGTAGTGACTACCGGGGTAACTGTCAACAGTAGTGACTACCGGGGTAACTGTCAACAGTAGAGACTACCGGGGTAACTGTCAACAGTAGTGACTACCGGGGTAACTGTCAACAGTCACCAGTAGTGACAGTAGTGACTACCGCGAACTGTCAACAGTAGAGATTACCGGGTGAATCCGTCACACCGGGTACTGTCAGTAGAGAACTTCACTGGGTAACTGTCAACAGTAGAGACTACCGGGTAATATTCGTCAACAGTAGAGACTAAACTGTCAACAGTAGAGACTACTGGGGTAACTGTCAACAGTAGAGACTACTGGGGTAACTGTCAACAGTAGAGACTACCGGGTGGTCAACAGTAGAGACTACCGGGTAACTGTCAACAGCTACCGTAACTACCGGGTAACTGTCAACAGTAGAGACTACCGGGGTGACTGTCAACAGTGAGACTACAGGGGTAACTGTCACCAACTGTCAACAGTAGTGACTACCGGGTAACTGTCAACAGTAGTGACTACGGGTGGTAATCAACGAGTAGAGACTACTGGGGTAACTGTCAACAGTAGTGACTACTGACAACAGTAGAGACTACCGGGGTAACTGTCAACAGTAGTGACTACCGGGGTGACTGTCAACAGTAGTGACTACTGGGGTAACCGTCAACAGTAGAGACTACCGGGGTAACTGTCAACAGTAGAGACTACTGGGGTAACTGTCCACAGTAGAGACTACTGGGGTAACTGTCAACAGTAGTGACTACCGGGGTAACTGTCAACAGTAGAGACTACCGCGGTAACTGTCAACAGTAGTGACTACTGGGGTAACTGTCAACAGTAGAGACTACTGGGGTAACTGTCAACAGTAGTGACTACCGGGGTAACTGTCAACAGTAGAGACTACCGGGGTAACTGTCAACAGTAGAGACTACCGGGGTAACTGTCAACAGTAGAGACTACTGTCATATCCTAGTGTTCACACATCCTCTATTAAATATAAAACAATTATGACAGCATCTTGCCAATTATACACACCAACTATTATAGTAACATCGCAGAATATTACACTGTAAAGCATAACCAATGAAAGTGTGAAGTGGCCTCATCACATACATGTAATAATGCAAATATTGAAAATTCCTTAAGCAAAAGCATGGTCATACTTTAAAGCTTCCCTGTTACTGTGATTTGATGCACCTGATAAAAATACCTGTGACAACAACATATGATGCTCTTGACGAACATACCTGTGAGATGATGCACTTGACAAACATACCTGTGACAGTGACATGTGATGTACCTGCATCAGGTGGAACTTGAGTGTTTTCCTTAAGGAGTAGGCAGACCCACACTCGGTACACAGCAGACATTCTCCCGATGGTTTCCTCTTCTTATTTTGGCCTTTCACCTCTTTCAGTAAAACTTTTACCTTTGACCTCTGACCTTGCAACTTCCTCTTCTGAGAAAGATGGACAGAGATTGTGTGAAGTCTCCAAGTGCTGAATCTTTTAAAGTCCTTTTTGCAGAGTGTACATGCGTAGCTATGTGAGGAGGTGTGGTGGAGGTTTTGAGATAAATACAAGTTCTTCAAAAACAAAAGCATACGATATCTTCTACATAAAGTCTTTGTCATCCTCTCCAGGTTAGATGCTCTTTTCAGTTTTTTCCACTTAACACTGAACTCAAATTTACTGCGTTTAAGGTTCTTTTGATTTTTTAGTTTACCTTCAGCAAAATGCATTAATTTTTTATGTGCTTTTTCCTGAAATTACACTTTGATTCTTTGGATAATTTCACATCTGTAGCAGTAGGTTTAGGGTGCCTTGTGTTGCGTCTCTGTGTGACCTTCACCTTCACTTCATCATCAACTACAGGGTCACATTTTGACTGCCTTCCTCGACTTCTCTGTATACAGGTTTGAACTGATGAGGAAGTAACCGTTTTAACTTGGTTTTGGATCTTGTTTGTCGTCTATTTGTTTCTGTGGTTACTGATACACTGCTACATGACTTCACTTGTTTTTTACTTGTAACTCGTCCAGTCTTCCTGGGTGTAGCTTGACTTGAACACTCTGTGGGTTTTAGAGGATCTTCAACGCCATCAGGGACACTTCCACTATAAAGAGTATTTTGTGTGACAACAATATGTGAAGTGTCTCCATCAACCAAACCGTTACCTTCCTTACTTTGAAGAGGATTACGACCCTCCTCCTCACCAATGGCTGGGCTTTGTTTGGGCACAGAGGAACATGTAACTTGTGGAACAATAAATTCATTGTAAATATTTGTCTCATTAACATTTAATGAATGAACAGTTGTTGGATCGCTAACATCTGATAGCTTAACATCACTAGTTGATTCCTCACAACTGATGTGACTCCTTATCTGGTCCTGACCTGGATTATGAACAAGTTGTTCCTGCACCTGTTCATAGTTAGAGCCACCTTGTTGTCCATCAGTGATAGGTTGAGAAGGAACTGGAGAACCTGCTCCAGCACGTCCAGTAGAACTCAGGGCAACTCCAGTGGAGACAGCTAAACCAGTCTGTACAGATGCTTGTGTGTTGTTACTCAGTGTTTCACTTTGTGAAGTCCTTTGAGGCTCAAGTAGAACAGTTTGTTGAGGACCTTGTGGGTTAGTTGTGATAGGTGTGTTATGGGCAGAGGCTGACTTTTGAGAAACTGTGTACACATTTAGTGTTTGTAGCAGATGGATGTCACTGGAGCCTCTCTGGTTTACAACTGCATCTGTGATGTGTGGATCATGGGTAGAAGTTTGTACAGTGCCAACAGACTGAAGTTGTATACTGGGTGTAGACTGTTGATGGCTGGTCTGCAAGTGTTGTTGGGGAAGCTGTACAGCACACACAGTGGAGCCTCTGGTGATGCTTGGATTTGCTGCTTCAGAGCTCACCCTTACATCACCATGTAGGACATCACCATCTGTTACACTAAAGCCACTCCTCATCTGTGCAGTGTGCACATTCATCATGCCTTGCTGCCCAGCTATCTGCACTTCCTGCAGGGCACCTGTCAAACTGGTGTTCTCCTGATGCCCTCTATCCTGAACCAGGAGTCCTCCACAGCTGCCAGGGAGGAGCCTGTCTGCACTCTGTAAGGCCTCCACTATGGTGGTGAACTGCAGCGTAGTGGCAGCTTCCAGGATCTTCTGCTTCCATGGCCACAGGGATGGAACCTTCACTTCCCCTTGGTATATCAGGCTGAGAAGAGCACCAAGCACATGGGCCTCGATGCCTGCAAGCAAATGCAGACCATTTTAATCAGTAGTGTTTAAACAGATATTTGGATGAAGCATGGCTTAGCAGACTGGGGGTTTAAAATATCAGTTAGGTGATCATACAAATGTACCATTTGGTATCAGGACCCCTGCATGGTTAGGGTCAGGGCTGACCTAATTGAGAACAGTTACACTGTGTGACCTGTCTAACTGTGTGTCATTCTTCTTCTTCATGGATCGTTGGTGCTTGTTTATTCACAGGCAGCCCTGATATAACTGAAATATTGCGGGTGATGGCATAGTAAGTGAGTGATGAGTGGGTACCCATTAGCAATATCAAAGTGAACAATACTGACTTCATGTTGTAAAGGGGATGGTGGGGAAGCCTAGTGGTTAAAGTGCTCGCTCATCACGCTGAAGACCCGGGTTCGATTCCCCACATGGGGCACAATGAGTGAACCCCATTTCTGGTGTCCCCTGCCATAATATTGCTGGAATATTGCTAAAAGCGGCATAAAACTCCCTCACTCACTCAGTCATGTTGCAAAGAACCACCTACTTGTCTTGAATTCTGTGATTGTTTCATTGGTTTCCCTCCAACCATGAAACACCCAGTGGAAGAAGGAGGAGTTGATTGCCAGCAGAAGTTGATGTGCCTTGAAAGTAGTTCCGTCTTGTGCGATGAGGCTGACATCACAAAGTGCCTGGTTACAGTAAAACTCGTGGAGGCCTTTGATTGCCACCGAGCTGTGTTGTGGCCACACCAGGGTCTCCATCTGTAACAACATCAACAGCTAACAACATTATCAACAACTTCTTTATTATGATTCAACATTTAAAAATTATCTCTATCATTGTCAAGCAAGAGTGACAGCAATAAAAGGATCATTACCAAAACATCAATCACATCATGATTGAATAAAGAAGTTGTCATCCATAAAACTATTTCAGGGATTTACTTTGAGTATTTGAGGGTCCCTGGGACAACAAAATGGGGGTCCCAGACACTTAAATATCATTATTAATACTGTTATTGTATTGTGTATCATGATCATCACATTGTTACAGTAATTAAATTGCAAATAATACCATAACCCAGCTAGTAGCAAACTCAGTGATAACTTATTGTCACTTGATTGGAAATTTTACAAAAAGTATTTGGACTTTTTCTGAGTCCCTGTGGACGCACTAATACATTTTCTTGCGCCCATTGTCAATTTTTATGCGTCCTATAAATCCCTGACTATTTTGCTTACTTCTAAAATACCAATGAAACAGTTTGTACTTGAATGCATATACATGTACTTAAGGTCCAACGTTTATTAGCTTAAGAACAAGATCCTTTGTCAGTTTTAGACCATAGAATTAAATAAAGAAATCAAGACAACTTAGATGTCAATTAACGAACATTGTGTCTCATTGCATATCTGAACATTAACAGGTTTCTAGTCTGATTAATATGCAATAATGGATTGTATAGTTCATCAATGAAAAGATGTGAAAAGTTCTTCACAATGTAACATTGTATATTTGTTGAGTACAATGTGAATTAAATTTTAACTCTCCACAGTAAAACAATATAAACATTGTATCTCTGATAGGTACAGTAATATTAATATTTCTTTCATAGATCAGTTCTATGTCACATATTCACCTTTTTGAATACTAAGGTGTTGAACAATCTAAAACCATGTTGGTTTGTTACCCATGAATTTTGTGGTTGAAATCACATACAAACATGAATTTAAATCATGTCTATTCTTAATTAACTATCTCAGAAAATGTTAAATCTATGAAAAGTCAGTTTATTAGAGATATAAGCCAGTCTCTGTTAAAGATATATAACACTATCAGACTAACTCCACCCAACAAAGGTTATACATTCAATAAACAGATTAAATATTTATTTGGTGAAATTGGAAATGAAAATACAAATCTATTTCACTTTAATGTGTTTTCGGGAGTGATGATGTGAGTTACGTAACACACAATGACCTGATAACCTATAAAAACGTAACAACAAACTGTAGTAAACAAAAACATTTAGCTCCATACTTTATTAGAAATATTTGCATCAATTGCATATGCGTGCTGTGTGTCTTTATATCCATCAGTGATCGGCAGTAATATTACAATAACAGATAAACAAGACCACGTAAAATCTGACGCTCTCGTGCACAATGCAGTGACGTAACACGTTAACTGCACATTGGATAATTACGAAAACAGTTCAAGTGTATTGTTCTCTATGCCCAAGCCTCCAGAGTGTGGAACATCATAGAACATATACCTATGTTTGCTCAATAGTCTGAAACACCATGTTAATGTTAGGTTAAATATTCATGAAGACGCAATGACATAGTTTACGTTTTACAGCAGAATCAAAATCACTAGGGACATTCTTCGTTTGGAACGACTTCCGTGCTTACAAACAGAGTTACGTCCCCTGAAAATTATCATAAAATTTGCCGCTTCGATACATTTGTTTCAAGTTGTGCGCATTTAATCACTGCTCTTGAAAAATATGAAATAATTGGCAAATTATGAGACACGCAAATTTATTGCTCGTTTCTGTATGCCGGGACACAACAAATAACCACTGGTTCTTTGAGTAATTAACTATAAGCATGGGGTCAAAGTAAGACAGTTAAAAGAGCATTCCTGGTTCCTCGTTATGCTTTATTTTAAGAGGGAAAACTTTATTCAAATCATTATTCTGATTAGGAACAGTGACATATGTTTATTTGTTTCCTTTTTTTAACAAAGTGAATGGAGTGATTTTATACCCAATATTTCTTGTATTTTTTAAAACATTCCAAATGTTTTGTTTTAGTTCAATTAATTTTAGCATTTACTTTACCAAATCATATACATTCTACCAAAATCTTGTCAATGGATGGTATCGGGGTAGCGTAGTGGTTAATGCGTACGCTCGTCACGCCGCAGACCAGAGTTCAATTCCCAACCAAGGCAAAACCGCGACTTGGGTCACGGCTTGTTTTACAGTAGCGGTAGCAACGGAAATCTGACAAAACTCCACTACATGTAACTCATCTATAATATTTATGTCTATATAAAATGTAGCACATGTAAAATAATCGTTAATATAAAGGAGCATATTTCCGGAAGAACTGACCACTGTTACTGAGTATTATTCGCTTCCGTACTAACAGCTCGCCATAAATATGGTTTCATTGTATATTCCTATTCTCCAAAATCTAGCGTAATATATTTACATTCTGTTAGTGATAGGGATATAACACACCGATTCGCCGAGAATGGAATTTTCCTGCAATAATATTACGAGTGTTTGATTCCAGCCTGAACAACAAGGATAACCGTATTGATCTTTGCGATCACACTTCTGCTTATATCAATCATCTGCGTATCTCAATATCAGACCACTAATGCAGGTGTAGATGTACATTGCTCCTATCTAGTATAAAGTAGCCAACAGTAGATTTGTATGTACCAGAGCTACGACTTCGCCGCTGAATTATTTTGAGGAGAAATTGATATCCAAGACATCAGTCTTCTCATATGTCGTAGGGGCGGTGGGGTAGCCTAGTGGTTAAAGCGTTGGCTCGTCACGCCGAAGACCCGGGTTCGAATCCCCACATGGGTACAATGTGTGAAGCCCATTTCTGGTGTTCCCCGCCGTGATGCTGCTGGAATATTGCTAAAAGCGGCGTAAAACCAAACTCAGTCAGTCAGTCATATGTCGTATGTATTCTACATGGAAAATGTCTGTCAACAAGTCAATGAGTGAAAAAGAAGGAATCTTCCAGCAACCCAAAGTACGTCTTAATGCACTCAGAAACACTTTTTACTGAAAACGCTGTTGTTTTGTTTTTGTAATTTGCTGTTAGTAGATCCGTCGACTGTAATAAATTGAAAAAAGACTAAAACATGTGAATATCGGTTTTTGATAACGACGAATGCAAACTTATGTGATCTCCACTAAAGAGTTGTGTATACGGTTCTTTCAACCACAAGACAGGGGAATGCATAACTGACATAGCACACACATCAATATATTAAAGAAGTATTTTAAACAACACTCACAACAATAGTTCCAAGCATTAATTTGAAACAACACTCTCGTGAAAACGGGTGTAAATGAACTGTGCAAGCACACACACACACACACACACACACACACACACACACTTCTCAAAAAGCTGTATCCGCCCCTGAATTGTTTCTCACTTATACTGTACAGGATGTTCCCCACCCACAAAGACGGCGCTACAAAACCATGGCCGATGCATGTTCCCTCGACTTTGTTTGTTGTGGTTTTTGTTTCGGGTTTTCTTCTAGCTTTTGCTGTTTTACGGTGTTTTTTCAGTTATTTTGTTTTCATTTTTAGTTATTTTTTTTGTATATCAGGTGAAGAATTGGCTTGCCTTTGCATGTGTTTGTGATGGGCGTTTCTGGTGGGCAAGGATACGCCCACGTTTTCTAGTGTCATTACTGTTTGATTGTGAATCATACACACATGCTCGTTTAATCCATAAAAATATCTTGGACATATATTTGATCTATTTTACAAAGAAACTATATGCCTTACATAACGTCAGTCGTGCAAGTATATTTGATCTTCTTTCACATGGTGTATTGTCTTTTTAAAGTCACTGATATGTGAAGGCAGTGTATATTATCACTGTTTATCACAGGGCGTAATCACCGTCCAACTGTTTATTGCTCATCGACCAGTTGGGACGACTGTATAAGGGAGGTAATTGAGTATTCGCTCTTCTGAAAGCGGAGGCGTGGTAGCCGTAGAAATGGAATGGCAGAACTTACTGTATAATTTGATTCCACGCAACCCATGCCCGTAAATACCTCTCAGAGGTTTGTTTTCTTTCTGCATTATATCATTGCATTTACAGTTTATTTTACGTAACAATATGTGTCTGAATGTGATAGATTTAGACGCAGAACCCGGGAAGCAGAAACCGGAAGTAGGGTAGTTGCTATTGCTACAGTTCTGCCCAGATAATAAAGCCAGTAAAGTATGGGGTGTTTGAGAAGTATGGTACAGTACGAACTAAGCTGGTACTACAATTACTGTCACTGAACGAGACAGAGATGAACCCTGTGGCTTGGGATCGCGTATTCACAAGCGTCATGCATGTTTTTGTCATCATAAATGTTTATTATTTTGTGAATGTGTGACATGAGAATAGATTGCTGTCATTAATTAGTTAATTATCTTCTTGAACATTAATACATCTGCCACTAATCAAATATAGGAAAATGTAGAGGAAAAGGGTGTTGTTATCAATCATATATGGGGAACAAGACTCACAGAAAGGTAGTTATCACTACACCTTGAATGTGATATCATCCTCATCTCAATCCATGTATAGATTTAGACAAGAAATACTTTTTAGCATTGTATTAGGCAGGAATGTGTTGTATTGTCTCCAAACAGGCCATCACAACAACATTCAAAATGATAAAAGTTTGAAAAAACCCAGTTGTCTATACTTTTTCTTTTGGCAATTAATATTGAAGTTACTACTAAAATATTTACTTGAATTTTTAATTGTTATCTGATGAAATCCATAAAAAACATATATTGGTATAAAAACAATGTCTTCTAATTTATCTCTTTTGCAGTTGATATTGAATTTACTATTTAAAAATAACTTGAATTTACAAGTCTTATCTCTTGAAACCCATAAAAACGGATTGCAAAAAACTTTCAGATTTCCAATACATTTGTGACAGACATTTAATGTCCAAAGTATGTATGCCCAAAAGTTCAATAAAGTGTTGATTGAATTACAAAAAAACATGTTATCATTTGGAACTCTCATGTATATGCATTATGGCATGAACAACCATCTAATTAAGTGATAAAAGGATTTAGCAGTCATCTTTTCGAAGGAAGCCCCAAATCTACTCCAACAGTATAATTCCAGTATAGGCATGGTGCCACATACCAGCATATCTATATCTTAACAATTTCCCAGTGTTAGCTAGGTTTGTATGAAGTATGGCTAATGTCATGTGCACCACCTACAGATTTGCCTCGTTTAGGTCTGATTCACTCAGTTTGACAGCCTGCTGCCATTGAATTTGTCAACTGAAAATGGTGCAAGGCTCAGGCTACATCGGCAGTCAAAGCCAAACTGAATCAAGTGAAACAAGCCCTGTTTTAAGATGTGTATCAATCTAGCAAATCCCTTTGCCCTGTTAGCAGAGATACATGGTTTAAGATTCAAGCACTAATTGTATTAAGATAAGGAAGAGGAATGCAATCTGGACTGAGAATTCAGGAAATCAAATCATCATCTTGGGAAAGGCAATCTTGGATAATAATGTAATGAATCATGAAAAGGATTTGAAGTATATTGTAGGTGATTGTTTTCAGGCCGTCCCTAAGTTTTGCTCTTAGTTATGTTCTTTGAATTATTAACAAGAGTGTAAACCCACTCACTCACTCAAGCTGTATTCTCAGACTCATTAAATCTGAACCAGGTTATCCGACATGTGGCCAAAATGCTAACTATAATTGTTAAATCTAAAGTACTGGTTGCTGAGTTGCTCTAATTTCACAGAAACAGTACTTGGTTCCAAATATTTCATAGAAGGCATCGATTAAAACATTTAGACCCATACATGAAAAGGGCAACAGATCAGTGTACCGATCACCTGGTCATGGTCTTGTTTTATCGATGTCCTTACTGTTGTGACCAAGCTGGTTTCTGATTGTGTATCTCAGGTGCCTGTTTAATTGTCTGTGACAAAGCTGGAGAAAAACATGAAGAATATAGAAGATACTGTCAAGGTTGATTTCTTGATCATATTGTTCGGAAACAGGATTTTATGAAAACTGATGTTTTCAATACAACATTCAGTTATGTTTATGGTTAGACTGATGTCAGCTACATATGTGATGGTGTTTTTCATCATTCTGTGCATTGTAAATGTTTACTATACGGTTACAGATTCCCTATCTGACTTGAAACATGACTACCTTGGTCATGTCATTATTTTGAATAATACCCAGCAGTTTCTTTATGTTTTATTATGATCTATCTGGTAATATCGACTCCTACAGTGCCAAGTGTGCAATCATATATCAGTTATAATGTGATGAACATTCTGTGGGGACATGCATTGTGTGCAAACCTACTTCAGAACAATTCTGATGTGCTGCAGAGCCTTGAGAATCTATTTTTCTTATTTTTCATGTTTTATTGACATATCTATGGCTGGGCCGCATATAGGGCCAAATAAAAAAAAATGTTGTGGTTCCGTTTACACCTCTTAAAAATTTAGGGTAGGTAGGTAGGATTTTTTTATTTTTTTACATATTTGTTTTAGAAGGATTCATTAGGTACAAACTAATAACACATGTATCAATGTGTAATTGTTTATTCAATCAAACTTGTGGCCATCATGTCGACGTT